GAAAAAAAAAAAAAGAGTTATATTTTGGGTGATGCAACTCTAGGCCACACTTCGGGTGAGAAACAGAGAGTTGTCTTGAGGCTACATCCTCACCTCTCACCGATTTCTTCACATATAATACTATATCTAATGGATATCATCTTTGAATGATGTTCCTAATGGTTGTTTCAGTAATGGAAATGCTTAAATTACTAAAGCATAGAAAAACCCACTTGGGGTGAAGCAACACACGACCACATTTGGGTAAGAGATTAGTGAAGGGTGAGAGGCAGAGAGCTGTCATGAGGCAACACCCTTACCTCTCACCCATTTCTCTACATATAAAATGTTGATATATAATTTTCCTACTCTAAATTCAAACAAATCCTGAGGTAATATATTCTTATAGCAATGGACAAAGAATTGTTTATGATAATATATCTAATGGAAATCAATTTTAAATGGCTTTCCCCATAGCTGTTTCATTAATGAAAATGATCAAATTACTTAAAGCACCTATAATATAGAATTGGGTCATAGAAAACCAACCCATGGCTCGAAAAAAATGCACACACATGTACAAACAAGACATGAGAATATCAAGCGTAGCACAACTTTTAGCCGGATCCGATAGTGAAAAATGCTAATTCAACCAAAGTGACCCCTTTGTTCTAGAGAATGGAGGATGGAAGGAAGCGACTTTGAAGTTTGAACAGCACAAAAAACGTAGATAATCCTAGTGGAACTGTACAAGTCGGCCGGAGAAAAATAAAATTCGTTCATTCACCAATTCAAAAAAATCCATCAAGACTGGTTCTCGTTTATACATCACCACCACCAACAACAAACAAAAAAAGTCTATTAAGAGATTATAATGCATCAAACAAAAATGCATTAATTAGTTATAATGAACAATAAGGATAAACATGGGATTGACCATCATTAAACAATGTCTGAGAAATATCCTCTAATAAGAAGATAATATTATCTATTAGACATTTTAGGGTCCAATGGTTCACAGTTGGAATCGGAATTGAAATCGAAATCCTTCAAAATCGAAATCAAATTAGTCTATTCCATAGTCTGTTTGATTCAAACAAAAAACGGAATAAGAATCGGAATCAACTCAAATGGGAGTTCATTCCCAAGGGAGGGGAGGGAACGACCATTCTATCAAAAATGGGAATTGAATTCCAATTCTGCCCAACCAAACAATTAGAATCAGAAATTCCAATTCTAGACCCCTATTCCCATGAACCAGACGGCCCTTAGACATTTTTACCTGGCATAAACGATTTTTCTCGAATTCCAAACAGACCAGATGGTTTTGGAAGATCTTGATCTCCAAACCCTGTCCAATAAACAACGGATGGACGACCAAAACAAAAATGTTTCTATGCAAATGTATATTCATTTGTTAATAACGCTTAGAGCTTAGAAGTTAGAACATCAGTATTGACTATTGAGACACGCCCACCATAGAAGGAGTTGGTGCAACCTTCCCTAGAGCTGTAAAGTGGCCCGGCACGGCCTGCAGGCTGCCACGGGCCATGCCGTCCTCCCCGATGAAAATTTTAGGGGTCGGCCCGGCACGGCCCACGGCCTAGGCCCAAGCGGGCCCGTGCTGTGTCATGCCGGCATGCAGGTTTGGGCTGGGCCGAGCTGCAGGCTGTGCCGTGGGTTTGGACCGTGTTTGGCTGGCCACAGGGCAGGTCTTGGGCCTAAGCCAAACCGAGTTGCACTGTTTTTTTTTTATTTTTTATTTTTTTTTTGAAATTTTTGATTTTTTTTCTAAGTAAAATTGTAAAACTAAAATATTTAACTTTCCTATGAACTTTGGGAATTAAGAACTATTTAACCAAGTTGAAATAAGAATGATGGAATAAAAAATTGGAAGAAAAATAGGAATTTTATTTCATTTAAATTTGAATGGTACAAATTAGTGAATTACAAATACAATGATTGGATCATTGCATACTTGGATGAATGAAATATAAAAATGGAATAATTTAATAAAATATAAAAAATACAATATGGTTACAAATTGAAAATATAAAATTACATTGTTAAAAAATTCAAAAAATATATCAAATATATCAAATAAAATTTAAAACTTTTACAATAATTTGAAAAAATGAAAAATTCTACAAGTAATCAAATTCATGAATCATCATTCATGACTTTCATCATCTGCTTCGGGTGAAATGTCCGTTGTTGTATCATGCCCTCCCTTGTCTTGTAATCTATCTTCTGCATCTAACCAATCCTTGGAGCAAATGCACATCTCTATGCTTTTATCATTCATGCAGCTTCTTTTGTCATCTAGCACCCTGGTACCTGCACTAAAACAAGACTCTGATGGAATTGTAGACACCGAAGGGGTTAGTAGATCACAAGCCATGGCGGCGAGAACCGGATAATTTTTCGAGTGTTCACTCCACCAAGCTAAAATATCAAAATTATATGATACTTCACCTAAATTAGAAAAATTTGCTTGCAAATAAAAATTAATTTCAATAAATGAACTTGTTGTAGAACTAGCAAATTTCTACCCTCTACTTATTAAATAAAAAAACTTTTCTCTTCTACTACTGGGCTCAAAGTCAAAAGGAGAAGAAGTTGTAGGAATATTTCCTGCAGCTTCAGATTCATACAAACTATACATTTCAAATAATAAATTATTAATTTCTTCTTTATTATTTCCTATATCAATATTCGTATTTTCATAATATGTTTTAAGTAAAATATCTAAACCATCTTTCCTAATCCCAGGGTCTAATATTGTAGCTAAACAATAAAGGGGAGAAATGTTCTCCCAATATTTTTTAAATTTATTTTCCATAATTTCAATAATACATTGAAATTGTTGATTATTTCTATATTTGGCAAAACAATCACTAATTACCATTAATTGATATGGTAAATTACAACTAGTTGGATAATAAATTCCAGA